TAAATATATGATAAGTATGTAGAATCAGAAAAAAAACATAAGGAAGAGAACAAAAAGTAGGAAGCATAATTAACAAATAGAACTTTACAGAGTGTTTCGTTTATGTATCTTGTGACAAGATTACAGGGAGCACTTTGGAATAGCTTAAATTTAGTTTTAAGTCATTCATTTAACTAAAAGTGATACTATACATTAGATCAATTATGTAACCAAGAAAACAAAATAATGGTCATTACATCTTTCTCCTATTGGAATATGTTGATGCCAGAATATTGTGAAAATGACTTGTGTTTAGTAGGTGCATTTTATGTAAACTGGCCTTAGTGCTCCCTGTAATCTTGTCACAAGTGCAATTTTCTCATATGGACCTTTCTAAGAGCAGGGAAGTAAATGAGGTCCCTTGGCATATGGGCCTATGTGAAGCCTATAATGGATCTATGTCATGCTTTTCTTCGCTTCTCGTCTTTCCTTTTTACAGTTTGTTTGGCTTGTGAAGTAATCCTCATCTTTACATTTGTAACATAACAAAATCAGAAGTCTTCTATTTGATGATTTTGTTTAGTTTACCTGCTTAGGTTTGATTCGATAATTGTACTGTGAATAATGCTTAATGCACCAGTGAACATTTTATATCATAATACTAGGAGAGTTACAAATTTTATTTTGTTTATACATTTTAGATATGGAACAATCCCCCATCTTCCTGCTTATGTCATTTATGCTTTTATAGTTCCATCTAACTCATGCAGTAAATGTTTCAGGATAAATGGAGGAATATGAGTATAAGTGCCAGTGGCCAAGGCTCTAGGGAAAAGGTAAGGACACCAAAGGCAAAAGGTGTTCCAGCCACCCCAGTATCTGGCTCTCAGAGCCTTGTTGTCTATGTCCCTCATAAAGATGGAGCACCTGCAATTTCAGATCCAACAAAAAGTTCACAAGAGGCAAAAAATCCTCCTCGGTGGGTGATATTTAATTTAACTTATTCCATTATGATCTAGTGAACTTCTCTTGGAACTACAAGAACTTCTCTTGGAACTTTTTTCATTTGACAACTTTTTTCATTATGATGTAGTGAAATTCTCTTGGAACTACAACAACTTTTTAACTATGGTCCAGTGTTCTCTTCAAACTACTAACAAGGATAATATGGATATTAGTTCCTCGATTTTAGTAATGAAAAAGTAACTTGTAAGTATGAGATTTTCACATTGCAACCTGTTAGAAGATTAACTTCTGTGTTTTATTGAATTATTAGTAGGCATTGATTAATCAGGAAAATGCTTTGTTTGGTATTCTTGAATTAGTATGTAATAGGAAGATGAAATCGCTTTTCTGGTAAGATCTCAGATGCTATGGAACCAATTATAGTATGATGGTGCTGCAATGCTAATTACATTTGAACTTTGAGATAAAGACACCTTTGTTTTTTTGGATGCTACTGTATCATATTTACATATATAGTTTGAATCAGTATGTTATCGGTGTCACTTTTTTTTTTTCTTCAGGCATGAAGCATTTCTTAGCTGGGGAAAGAACTTTCTGCTAACTTCATTTTTTTCCTTATCATTCAGATTGTAACCAATCTTCCTAATCAGTATTTGTTCTTACATTGTGATCCATTTTTTGTTTATTAGGTACACTGCTATGATAATTGAAGCACTTGCATCTATGCAAGAACCTAATGGATCAGAAATTGGTGCTATTTGTAGTTTTATTGAGGTTTGTGGGTATAACCTGTCATCATCATGTTAGTGAAAGGAGCATCCATGTTGGTTTTTTTCCTTTGTGCTTTGGAAGAATGGCAGATTTATGCATTTCATATCATGTTGTCATTGTTAGAATTTGAGACATCTATGCTATGATACTTTGAAGTATGTCAAGGTTGTCATGTTCTCTGCAGTCCTCTAGAACACCCGAGATATGAGGCTTCTATTATGAGCATTTTTTTACTAATGTAACATTTTCTTCTGTGGTAAAGTTTGTGCCTTTGATTTCAATTGCAGCGTGCGGAGGTGCTAACATAAGCATAGTGGATAACTCTGTTTGCTTTTGTTGGATTTTCACAACCATCAATTTATGTGAAGGCTAGACCCTGTAAATCTATAAATTTTTACCCACCTGCATTCATGATGGTCATGGACTTCCTTGTCATCTTTGTTTCTTTCATGACCCTTTGCATCATGTTTTACTCGTAATTGCTTTAATTTCATAACTTGGAAAACCATGTGCAATAGTGTTACATCTTCAATTACATTTATACTATTGAAGAAGGTTTAACTCGAAGGCAATGGTGAAAATCCTATAGTAAGTTTTATTAATTGCAAATATAGTAATGACATAAATTATGTTTTCATTTAATAAAGAATCTAGAAGCATCAAATCTCTGTATTTTTCTTATGCACCGATCTACAAGAATTTGACCTTCAGATCATGTGTTGTTCCTAGTCTTTGTGACATTTTTAATTGAAATGAAAAAGGGCATACCCAGCACCCAGCGCATGAGGCTCCTGCTACTGTGAGGGGAGGGTCAATGCAGTCTTTCTAGCCGGGCAACATCTTTAATTGAAATGACCTATAGAATATAGTGCTTACCTGGTTTTGCAACATATAGATATTTTTGCACGTACAAAAGGTTCTCAGTTTGTCAGAATCTTGGTTTCTACGCTTTAAATGTTAGAGATCATATTCAACAGTGTCAATCTTCGATTTGGAGCCTCTTGTTCAACATTAAGTAGACTTGAGGTCTAAGTACTTTTGGTTGCTTGCTAGTTAAACTCTATTTCATTTACCTTTTATGTTTTCCTAAAATTTTTAAAAGGAAAATTTATTAAGTTGATAATTAGGAGGAAAAGGAATACATATGTCGATTCTGGTGTTCTAAAGTAGCTTGATCTGTGTGAACCTAAATATGTTTCTTTGGGTTAGCATGATTGGAACAAAACTATTAAATGATGGCTACATATCATCTTAACTCAGTCAGTAGCATTTGCCTTTATTCTGATTTGCATTGCAACATCTGTTAACAAAGATGCCTGGTACTATTAAATGACTATATAAGCAATCTGATATATCCAAAATTTAGAAGGGGAACCTTAAAGAATAGTAGAAAACTTGCATTATCCATTTGCATCTTTGGTTTACATTTGGTCACTGAAATTTTCTATGTTTATCTTGCTTTGCTGTAGTACTCATTTCACTGTGGTAGGTTTCATAGACAGCTGGTTCTTTTTAGCTACTGAAATAGTTAAAAAGCACAAAATTTACAGCTACGGCCTATGGATACCTTATATATTGTTTACATTGTCATCCTTTCAACTTACACAAATGTTTAAACATTACATTTCAGATGATCCTGCAAATTTGTTAAAAGTTAGGTGAATGTTATTGTAGATTACTTTGTGATATACAGAAGCATTTTGCACTTATTTTAAAAGAGCATTGAGTATAGCATTGCACTTGTGCATGTAAAGTTTCTGTAGTTCTATGATATCTTTGCAGTAGTACTTTGCCATGGTTGATTCCTTTTTAGTGATGTTTGTCAGACTGTTAATTTCTTTGATATCTTATGCAGCAAAGACATGAGGTGCCACAGAATTTTAGGAGGTTGCTTAGTTCAAAGCTAAGGCGGCTTGTTGCTCAAAATAAAATAGAAAAGGTAAACCATTAATACACTCTCATTGTTTAATAGTCTGGTACTTGTATGATGCTATTTTTTTTCATAATTCCACTATTACTAAATTCATCATTTTTGTTTGCATGAAGTGGATGGTAAGTAGTTCTTGAATCATATAATAATGAATATCATGTCCAGAAATGTCAAACAATACATGTGTTCTTTGAGAGAATAATTAGGTATGAATGCTCGCTTGCCTTTATTTTTAAATTATAGGAATATGCTTTTTCACATGATTTGAGAAGAAATTTTATTGCTTAATACAATTTTTTTTTATCTTAAACTTGTTCATCATGTTGTGTGAACACATTGTAGGTTCAAAAGGGTTACAGGCTGAAAGATTCCTCATATGCAACAAAAACTCCAACCCCAAAACAAAAAGACCCGGCAAATCGAGCTAGGGTACATCAGAATTCCAGCTCAGCAAATTCGATAGACCCTATAGAGGAAGCAGCAATAACTGCTGCTTACAAAGTAGCAGATTCAGAGGCCAAATCATTCTTAGCTTCTGAAGCAGTCAAGGAAGCAGAGAAGATCTCAAAGATGGCTGAAGAGACGGATTCACTTCTGCTTCTAGCGAAAGAAATCTTTGAGAGATGTAATTGGATACAACTGATGATCTTTTAAATTTTTTTCTTGAGGTTCTTGTTTATTCATGAAGCACTTAATGGATCGTCTAATTTTACAGGTTCACGGGGTGAAATTGTCACTATTGCTTAAGCTGCATGGATAGAATTTGTTGTATCTTCAGGTATGCTCTCTGGCTTGCTCAACCGTACCTTTAATTTCCTGTAGTTTGCTAATTTATGGCTGATGCCGAGAGATGCAATTGCATGAAACCAATCGGACATCCATGCTGGATAAAATCTGTATATAAGCTCTCATTCAATCAGATTACAATCAGATGATGATGACTCTTTTTGTTTCAAGAGGGCAGCTCATTCATTGTGGATGTGTTTGCAAGTTACTATCTGATGCCTCCATATTTATGAAGGAATCATCAATATTCTGCCATATGATATGTATATGATTTGTAGGTTATTTTCACATGTCAGGTTATTTCTGTTGTAAGGTCATTAAAAAAAACTCAAGCTGGAGATCATTAAGACACTGCAAACGTCTCTTTCTGTTCCATGCAAATTGCACAGCTTGAAAGAAAGTTAATTGTTCTTTCCCACTTAGTTTACTCTGCCATCAATCAAATCAAATCCATGGCTTACGGATCTAAAATGCATTTTGTCTTCCACATGTCTGTGCATGGAAAAGTAAATGTCGTGCCTGACAAATGACAATAATATTCACAGGTATTCAGATCCATCAGCAGATGTACACTATTTCAGACAGATTTCTCTATTAGATAACAAACATATACCTTTTATTTAACACACTATATTTATTCAAACCTTAGGGCAAAAATCAATGAGCAGAAACTTCTGGCTGGAATATAACTACTATTGCTGATAATGGAATCAGCAAACAACTTCCTCCTTCAAAATCCAATAACTTCGACAAAGCTCTACAAACCATCAATCTGCCATGGTATCAGCAAACATTAACTCATCATCGACGAAGAACAATACCATATGAGAAGAAATAAGAGAGATGCAAGTGACGGACGTCTTGTGTAAACGAAGGATGATAGATATTTACTGAAGGTAAAAAGAACAGATGCTTGATCAGATGAAGCAAGCTTATGGCAAGTTCCGATCTTTTTGGCACAGATCGATTCCTAAACGGAAAAAGATGAAACCTGGTTAGAGACGATACCAGGAGGAGACGGATCACCACCAGCCATAGACGATTTGGGTGTATTTATCCTTGAGCCAGCGGAAGCCCCTCCTCACGGACCCCTTCACCCTGCCCTCCACGGCATAGGCCTTGTAGCTGGCGACGCGCTTCCGCCGCTGGAAATCAGGGTCGCCGAGCACCCACCCGCCCTTCTTGGATGAGGAAGAGGGCGCAGCGGCTTCCTTCTCCTTGATCCCTTTGGAGCCGTAGCCACCGTAGGCGTAGGAGCTCGTGCTGTTGCTCCTGTAGTCGTAGAGGCTGGACGGAGGAGGCACCGCCGCCATCCGGCCGTCGTTGTATGACCTCGATCTGAAGTCTTTCATTGGACCAGTGCTCTCTGCGGAGGGAGTCTCCGGAGAAGAGGATGAGGGAGGCGGGGAAGAAGGCGGAGGCGTGGACGGGGATCAGGTTCGGTTATTGTGGTCACGTTTGGCCCGGTGGTTGAATCTTTGTGAGGTCGAAGACCACCATCGAGTCGACGCTGCGACAACGTGTGGAACAGCCTGTTGACTTCCGTCCGTTTGCAGGCGCTGCTTTCGTGCGCTGCTAGGCATGATGTGAACTCCTCCGGCCGCCCTGAGCGTTGACTACTTTTCACTCTGCTTTTTTACCTTTACGTTACTATTTACTGTTTCTTCCTCACCAATTTCCTTCAATTATATACATAAATAACTTATTATTTTTCGGTATTTAAAGCCCTTCAGTAATTGAAAACGCCTCGTTATATATTTTTTTGGGAATAATAGGATATCAATGTGCAATAAATGGCAACGCAAACTGAGAAAGAAAAAGGACAAGTTGGATATGCACTCCTCTCCCTCTCCTTTTCTACGTTTAATTTTCCCCCACCCTTTCCCCGTTCCACATTTAAGACTTCACTTTTGATTCAATTGCCATTCTTGCGAATTCAAATTTAGTGTTTGAAGGTATAATAATTCGATTTCTTTATATTATAAAATTGAAAATATACGCTCTCAGTGAACTATATTTTGGATTTTTCTCATATCTCTATTTTATTTTATTTTATTTTTCAAACTAACTTGAAAAATATATAAAATACTTCTCAAAAAAAATTTCATTATATTTTTCTTTCGTATTTTTACTTGTTTTTGAACTGTTATATTATTTTTGTAATATTTTTTTATTGAGACACTAAAAATATTATTAAAAAATACTATGCATGACATCATATTGTATCTCTCTGATTGCAACTATTTGTAGACCATTACGATATTTAGATTTATATTATATCATATTTTTAGATTTATATTTAATTTGATTGAGGTTAGGTGTTTATTTGAGCTATTTATAATATTTATAATAGATTTTATAGTATTTTTATTATGATGAACAAAACACTCTAAAAAATTAAATTTTTTTTATATGGGTGATATTATTCATAAACAAATATAAATACCTATTTGAATCAGTATTTTGATTTAATTTGATTTATTTATCATGTTTTCAAGTAGTCTTTATAGTATTGTCATGACCAAGATATTATAACACATCAAAAATATTATAATAAGTAAGTAATATGTAAGATATTTTTAAAAAAAATTAAAGAATTATTTTAAGAAAAATATAAAAATACCAATTAAAAAAAATTAAAATTATGAGTATTTTCTAAAAAATCGCCCAACATCTTTTGGTTGGAACGTAAATAATATCATAGTGGTGAGGTTTTCGAGTCGGACAAGAAACGTACGTTTACACCCCCCCCACATAGTAAGTAATAGGATTACTCGTTGCATGAGCGATTCCTATCCGCATCGAAGGGTTGGGATAAGCCACCACTCCCATTCCCTGCGATAATTGCAGATCCGCTACCATCAAAAGCGGAAACCCCACACCGTTACGAAACGGCTTCAAGAAGGTTTAGGAAAGGCTTCTCCCTATTACGATATATGGAGACTCCTATTGTGTCGTATCGTATCGTGCGCTATAGTAGTTGGTTACAGTCGGATTATGCTCCTCCCATTGTTCTCTCCGACTCCGAAACCCTAATTTGCCGAGCGAGTTCGTCCGAATCGGAGACTCCGAGGCCCTGACCGATCGATGGGTGCGATCTCGCTTCCGTCCCCCGCGTCGTGGATTTGGTGGGATTCTCTTGGGTGAAGCTGTGTGGCTTCGCGATTTTGTTTTCTTGGTGATATCCGTCGCTAGGGTTGCGGTTTGACTTGCATTTTTCACCTGCTCGTGGTCGCGGTGGTCGGATGGAAGCTCGCGTCGGGAACAAGTTCCGCCTCGGTCGCAAGATTGGGAGCGGTTCCTTCGGAGAGATCTATTTGGGTCGGTGGTTGCTTTTTTTCTTCGAATTTTCTGTGGGCTGTAAACTTGCAGGAACTCTTAACGTTTGCTCCTTTGTTATCTTGGTTGCAGGTACTAATATCCAAACGAACGAGGAAGTTGCGATTAAACTCGTGAGTGTAATAGCCCTTATATTTGTCTATGTATGACTGTGGTGTTTGATTTAGTCGACATGCTGGATTGATATGCAGATGGTTTAAATTCATACTCTTTTGAGTTTATATTACTTGCTTAGTTTATTTTAATTTGTATGTTGAAAGTACAGTTTATTCTTGAGTCAGTTTGCGTGCTATTTTTTTCTTTTATTTTTATATATTCCCCTTAAAAATAGAAGCTGATTAGCTTGCAATACAACTTAATGAAATCTTTAGATTGCTGATATTTATGCAGAAAAAAAATTCTATAAGCTAAGAGGAACTTGTTTGCTTTTATAATTTTTAGTTCAGGTTAATAGAATGACGTTCTGTCTAAATTTGGTAAAGACCCCTGCAGCAAACTTCATTTTGCTGTGTGGATATCCCTGTTTAAGCCAGAGAAAAGAACAAATTCCCTTCGCATAGTTGGTATTATTCCTTTTCAGTATCTCTTTTCGGTTGTTGGCTTTTTGAATAATTTCACAGTAATATACATTCCATCCATTATGGTTATTGTTCTCTATTGTTGATTCTCGTCTTTATGTATAAGCTAAAATCTGATGTTGTATGAGTGTGTTTAAGCTCGTGATTGATAGGTTAGTCTTTAAAAATTTTATCCTCTACATCGAATACTTCTAATGGCCTTGATAATTTTTCTTATGTTTATGTGAATCTTCTTATCAGGAAAACGTGAAGACAAAGCATCCCCAGCTGCTATATGAGTCAAAACTGTACAGGGTTCTTCAAGGAGGAAGTAATGAAATTTGTACATTGTTTTGGTGTCAGGCATTCATTTAACTACTTTCACTCATTCCTTTTTTTCTTGCAGCTGGAATTCCAAATGTCAAATGGTATGGTGTTGAGGGTGAATATAATGTCCTCGTGATAGACTTACTAGGTCCAAGTCTTGAAGATCTATTCAACTTTTGCAGCCGAAAACTTTCTCTAAAGTCTGTTTTGATGCTCGCAGATCAGATGGTATTTTATCGCTTTAGTGTACCTTTCTGAATTAATGTGGTACTATGCTTTTAAAAAATTGGAACATGCTTGATGAATCCTTTATGGAGTCAAAGTTCCTTTAGTACCAACTGCTGTTACCACCTTCTTTCTGCATGCTTTCACTCTTGGCATTTAGGTTTTTCTTATTATTCTTACTTTTCTTCATAGATGCCTTTCATATACTCATGATCCTGGCAATACCATTTATGTCTATCTGCCTCTAACTCCTTACCCTGATTCTGTTTATTACAATATGCTCATGATACCCTCTACTACAAATGTCACACTGATCACACCTGTTTATGGTTGCCCAAGATTGAATTGCTCACTTTATATGGCTGCATCTGATCTATTTAGATTTTTCACTTCAGATTAATCGAGTGGAATTTATGCATTCTAAATCATTTTTACACCGAGACATCAAACCAGACAATTTTCTTATGGGCCTTGGTAAACGAGCTAATCAGGTATGCCTCCTAAATTTTCTATATTTTTTTCTTTCTATTTGTCTACTGAAGAATAGTTTTGCATTTGCTTCCATCTAGGTTTACATTATTGATTTTGGCCTTGCCAAGAAGTATAGGGATACTTCAACTCATCAGCATATTCCGTATAGGTAAGATATAATTGACCAAACAATGTCTGAGCAAGGTGCCAAAGTATTCTGTTTAAGTGATTGACATTTGATGTTGGGAAGTGATGGCTCTTGTAATGATTTCTTTTTTCTTTTTCACAAAGTTTGCTGTAAGATGTGGTAATGTTTCACAAGGTGGATGCATATGGATGCAATACCATAGCATAAGGTCTTTCTTTTGTTGCTTTTAAAGGCCTCTCATTTTTCATGTCTTTATGAACCAATGATACACAAGCTCTTGTTTTTTGTGTCTTCATCAACCAAGGATAGCCATTGCACTAACATTTCCAACCAAGCAATATTTAGAAAGTTTCAAATTGCAGTGTTCCTCTCCTTTCATGCCATTCAAGTGAATGAAGTATTACCCATAAGACTATGCAAAATATTGAATGAAATTTTTGTTGCCCATGGTTCTTTGTGAAATCCATCTGAATGATAATGTCATTCTAGTGATTTGTCTAATGAACTCTGCAGGTGCTTGCTATCATATTTCACCCTCAACCATCTTTCCTATACAGCAACTTGTTTGTGGACTTTATCATGATATGATAATTCAATTATGTTCGTTGTTATGGTTGATAAATAACACTCTTTGTGCTTGCTTGCTTCAATTCAGTACTTGTATTGGACCATTTAGCCTTTTCTTTATGCCATTTTAGTAAAAGTTTGAGGGATTCTGTGACCTCTCACACTTGATGAGTGGGGCAAGGATCCCATGTGCTAAATCTGTTTGAGACCACATCACCATGAAATGCTGAGGGCTGATTTAGTTCACCTAAATGGCTTTTGGAAACCTTTGCTGTTCCTTCCATTGATTTTTGTTATTCATTGGGAGGACATTCTGTTCCTGTATATGGACAATAGCTTCTAAATTAGTTGCATGCTGCATATTCATCCTAGTTGGCCGGGCTTATGAGATTCCTTAGGTTTCAGCTACATTGTTTCTTTTACATTGCCCTGAATGAAAGTTGCTTTTAAAATGTTTTTGATTATTGGATCTTTGTTGCTTGTCTCCGTCCTTCAGTTTCCTAATCAAATTGGCACTGTACTATCTTTTTTTGGAATTCTTTTGGATCATGTACTAATTTTTAGATATATTTACAAGTAGTTAAGTTGAAAGTTTGTTTACCTTGTAGGTGTTTGTTACCAAGCGGTTGCTAGTGTTTATTACACTAAAGCCAACCTCACATCTTTAAACAAGTTCATTATAATGAAATCATATTTCGTACTATGTGCCTAATAGCTGATGAGGCTGTGGTTGGCTTCGGAAGGGTTAGGCTTCAAATTTGGTCATTTTGTAACTGTCAAATCTATACTTTGTGCACATGTGTGTATATATGGAGAACAAGAATAAGGTTCCAGACTCAGTTGAACATGTAAAAATTTTCCCACCATACCCTATTCTGTGTTGGATATTTTGGGCCCAAATCCTAACAAATATTTTATAAGTTTGGTGACCCTATAAAATTTCATTTTTAGAGGCGCTTAGAACTCCCAGATAAGTGA